ATTGGTCGTCCTAACCCTTATCTAAACAAAATAAATCAAAAATACAATTTTCCGACTGACACTGAAGGATTTGCTTTCCTAGCCAAAAAGCAATTTTAAACTCCCTTGCTGAGTAATCTCTGCCCAGATACTGAACTCCACTGAGAGCTCCTGGAGTCCAAGGTGGTATTGCTGAATTCTCCTCCTTGTGTCCTGCTGCTGGGATAGGAACATCCTCAAACAGCACCTGCCATGGGACGCAGATGAAACCACAGCTAGGTGTTGTATGTAAACCTGATGACTGGGAGACCCTTCCCCCAGAGAGCATGACAAGGCAGTTCAAAAGACAGCAAAAAAAATGGGAGAGAGGCAATGCTGCAATCCTTGTTTCACAAACAAACAGGCATGGTGTATGCTGGCAAATAGAAGTTTAATGTTAATAAAACTGTGAGTTCCAGAACCTGCCAAGACCATCTGCATTGTTTAAGGTGATGACATAGTCTGTGGCCATGAGCAAGGGGCTGCTAGTGATAAAAAATTTTATTGTGGCCACCCTTTTGAACTGGCTTTAGCGGGGAAAGGATGGACATAAGGGTGCAAAGCACATTTAACCTGACCAGTTTTATTTATCTGCATAGACAGAGTCTTCAGCAGAGACCTGGAGACCGAGCACCCCCCTGGATGATAAATGTATCACAAAAACACCTCTCCCCTTCCATCATGCGTGCTTGAGCTCCTCATAAATGTCAGATCTCTTGTTGCCTAATGGGGTGGGAATCCTTTAGGTGACAGGGCTGGGGAGCAGCAAGATCACTGTGAGGATGAACCAGAAGTACCAAGGTGGTAGTTTAGGAAGTTTGCACCAAGCTGGGTGACTGTGTGCTATGGCTAAGCCAAAAACTCCTGGATATGGAGGTAGGAACTTACAAGTCTCAGTCTCTCATTCTCTATGATTTGCAATATGGCCTTGGAAAAACTATAACTTAGTTTTGTCCCCAGCAAGACAGGGATAAACAATATCAACCTGCCTAAAATCTTTTCTGTATGAGATGTAAACAGAACCTGACATACAAGTGCTGTCTAGTAATGCTTGGGAGAGCCAGCCAAATATCACATTTATAACATGGATTTTCCCACTATGACTGAACTATGGCAACAGCACAAGTCATGTTAAGATCTGGAAGGGGCAGAAGTTCATTTGAAATTTCCTCAGACAAAGAAAAAGATTTAGCAGTTATTGAACACAAACAGCAATTTTTCTTCTCTGCCTCTTGAATGGTAAATTGAATCAGAGTTCCAGGGCTTTCCTTATTTTCTTTCATTCCTTATAGCTGAGCCCAGGCTGGCAGGAAACCCTGGTCTTTTGGATAAAGTCAGGCAATTCGGACAACAAAAGAGCAGAGAGTTTGGGGTACCCTCAGGATTTCAGAGAGCATGAAAGATGGAGAAATTACATCCTTTACACACAGGTTTGGATAAGAAACTTTTGGTTTATACCTTTCAGGCTTCAGAAAGAGGAGTAAATCCACACAGTCTAAGCCAGAAGAAACTGTTTACCCAACACAGACCCTTAGAGACCCTCTACTCCTCTTGCAGTGACTTCAATGCCTTGTGCTCAGGCAGACCATTTTTTTCTGGATGACCCACAAACTGATTAAAAAGAACAATCCCCCACTTGCATTCACATTTGTTGCTAATGATTAATCACCCCTATAGTTAAAAATGTGGCCGTTGTTTCTTGTTAGGATATGAGTTTGGGTGCAGCTTTTGCTACCAACTCTTGTTATGTCTCTGTGTAGTTGACCAGATCTTCGCTATTGCTGTTTATCTCCATGAAGTTAATTCATCTGGCGTAAGCAAATCACCTCATAACTTGCTTTTCACAAACTTAGCAGACAAAGATCTTTTAAGTATTCCACTGCAGCACATTTTCTCTGACCCCTAAATTATTTTTGTACCACTTTCTGCATCTTAAAATCAAATGTGTGCCTGAAATGGGATCTCCTGTCTCATAGCAAGGCACAAGCTGCTGTGCAGATCTATAATCTTGGGGGTATTCAGCCCAAGGAGTCAGTTCACACTCCACCTCATGGTTCAGATGTTGATCTGTGCTCTCTTGATCATGCTGACATAGGAATTGTGCATTTCTCCAACTTTCCTTCAGGTTTCTCTTGAGCTGTAGTTCACGGGTAGTTTCCTCTAAAGGCACAGCTGAGCCCAAGGTTCAGCAGCCTGACCTCAGCA